TTTCGCCCTCTAGGGATTCTTCTCGTCGTCACACCCCTCAACATCTTAGGGAAACAGAACATTGAAACTCTGGAGAAGGCTGGGATCGAAGGAATTTTTATTTCGGCACGAACTGCAACAGAAGAGAATTTCCGGGTGAATACATTATTCTTTGCGCGCTAGTAGCATTTTTATTCACATGAACTTTGTTTTAGGCAATTGCAGCCCACCGCTATCGTGTCATTGTTGTAAATCCCGAAGAACTCATGCGGCCGAAAGGTGGTTTCGAAAAACTAATGAAGGACAAGCTATTCGTCAACTCTCTCATCGGAATTGTCATTGATGAAGCCCATTGCATCTCGCAGTGGGGCTCTTTTCGTCCTGAGTATCGACATATTGGCCAGCTTCGCTTCCTTCCCCGTAAACATTGTCCATACCTTATCACGTCCGCTACGATGTCGCCAGCTGTCATCCTTGACATCAAGAAGGTCCTGAACCTTGATGAAGATAAATTGTTGCTTTCTCGCTGCTCTGTTAATCGCTCCAACTTCGCTATTATCATTCGCCCAATTGTACACTCCCTCGCCAGTTTTCTAGATCTCAAGTTTCTGTTACGTGATTGGAAGCCCGGGGATCCCCCGCCTCCGAAATTTCTTGTGTTTTTTGACAATATCCAAACTGCTGTTAGCGCAGCAAAGGTTTTGCGCAAGCTATTACCGAAGGAACATCGACATCGAGTCAAGTGGTTTTTTGCAGATATGTCTGATGAATTCAAAGAAGATGAAGCAGATAGGTTGGCAAAGGGTGAAACGTGGGGGCTGTTGACGACGGATTCGTTTGGAATGGTGAGTTCTCTTTTATTTTGAGATGAGCATGCTAACACCTCTCAGGGAATGGATATACCCGACATTCAGATCGTTTGCCAGTGGCGTGCTACATTGCCAAGTGTTTCAACGATTTGGCAGCGATTTGGTCGATGTGTCCGAGATCCGACACTACAGGGCCTCGTTTACCTGTTTGTAGAAAAGGAATACTTTGACGCTGAACGCAAGAGGGCTGAAACAGCAAAGGATTCAAGGAAGCGAAAACGAGCCGCTACTGTAGCTGGCAGGCACAGTGATCCAAGCGGTGACGAGGAAGAGGGTACCACGCAGATGAAGTCGAGCCGTAAACCAAAAAACGGCAAGAAGAATGTAATAGATCCTGCTGTTGACGATGTCATCAATGCGGATGAACGGGGTATTGGCTGCCGACGCCAACCTCTCATTGCCGTATTCCAGGATTCTATGTCGGCAACGTCTCATCTTGAATGTGATCCAGCTCTACCTCAAGGCTGTGCCCGCTGTCGTCCTGTTTCTATTCAGCTGTGTTGCGACATACATAACCCAGAGCTAACACAACCAAATATCTCTCAATCATCGACTGCTAAGCCTCAAGCAGTGGTGCGCCGTTCTAATCTCTCTGCTTCACTTGAGATGGATTCGAGGGACAAGGCCCTTGAATATGATCTTGAAATCTGGCGGCGCAACAAGACCAAGGAGAAATACGGTCTTGCATGTCTCAAGCATGAAGGACCTGGACTCGTGATGTCAGCAGCAGTTCGCGAACGCATCGTCAAGTGTGCGCATTTTGGCAAGATCAAGATGGCCACTAACCTCGAACGAGAGACACGTTGGTCAGGTTCTCATGAATATGGTTGTGATATCATCAAAATTATCGAAAAACATTATCCGCCTGAGCCCCCGCCATCCCTTGGTCCGATGCCAAGTCAGCTCCCGCTCCAACCCTTCCTTCTCAACTCAGCGTCTCAAATAGGCAGTCAGCCACTGGTAGTTCCACCTGCAGCACGTACAAAGCGCGCCGTCAAATGTAGTGTGTGCAACCAGACTGGCCATAATAGTATGTATCCGTCATCAGTTGTTCCTAGCTGTACTAACGATGCATTACAGTGAAGAACAAGGCAAAGTGTCCTGGGCCGCCAAGCACGCAATTTGTGAAGAAAGAAAACATACCACCACTCCTTCCTTCTCCGCTCCCTCGTGATCCATTTGCAATCCCTTCGTTATCAGTGGCTTTATCATCGTCTACCACCCTCTCTTCTATTTCCCCGTTCTCATCACATCAATATCAAGAAGGCGCGGCCGATTATCAATGATAATTCTACTATATCAATTCGCCTATAATATCATCCACGTCTGGTCTATCATCGCCAACATTCCCCTCATTTGCATCGTCATTCACTATTATTCCTACATGTTTATCCATTGCATCGTGTCCGTTATCCAACATGTCTGGAATAGAATGAACTGTTGTTCGCCCTGGCATGAATACGTGAGGTGAATTGCCTGCAATATGATCCCGTAGGTCTTTAAGCGTCTTCTCCATATTTGGGTCTGCATGCAAGACAGACGTTTTTGATAAGGCAAGGTTACGTGTGATCGTCTCATGTGTATTCTTATAAGTTGCGATAAGTGCTGACTCTTCTATAATCCGTTTGACAGTATGGTTAGGCCCTTGGCCACCATGTTTAACCTAAAGATGTGAGTGATTTGTATGTACTTCATCCGGGTTCAGAAAACTGACTTTGATCTCCAGGTTGTGCAATTCAACAAGCCAATCAATGGCGCGAAACTTTTCCGGTTTACCAGTTGGGTTGACCAAGATGTTATACCGGATAGCATGACGGAGACCTTCAGGATACTTGAAATGCAAATCAAGCAAGAACTGTTCAAGGTATGATGCGTATATGTGCTTCCCAGTTGCCTTGAATAACGGAATCCATGTCAACAGGCATCTTTCTACACGACCAATATCTCCAACATTCATCGCATATGAGAGCTCTTCATACAACGCAAGATAGGAATTGATCAGCTGTGCATTCTCGAGGAGTTGATCACGCTCCGAGATTGGTTTGAGACGGTCCAAAGATAAGTCTTCTGTACTTGCGAATTCTCGCATGATATCCTCAGCCATGTCTTCTAATTCATGTAACATTGGTTCAGATTCCGCAAGCTTATCGAGGCTAGTATGCTCAGGGTTCTTGCGTCCAGCCAGAACACGCCAACAGTCCAAGCGTCGACTAATTCCGGCATGATTGATCACTTGATGCATGCGGCGAAAACCCGGTTTTGACGACATAATCCCAGTCTCCTTTGGACGTAAGACCATGATATCGCCCATCAAACCAGTTTTATCTTTGCGTGCCAAACCAGGTTTGATGAGAATACGATGAAGCGCACATCAGCAATTCCTCAAATTTCACTTTCAGCCCTTTCAGCCCTTTTGAAAGGGCCAAAGGGCCGAAAGTGGCCAAAGTGGGTCTCACTTTCGAAAGGAAGGTCATTTAACTTTGAAAAGGTGAGTTGACTGCTTTTGTACCTTTTCAAAGCTAGGTTTTTACTTTCGTCCCTTTTCAAAGGGGCCAAAGGGTTCAATGTAGAACAATGAAATGTATTATTGCCAGCTATCAAATGACATTGTAAAGCTATAGGCATGGAATGACTGTAGGTATCAAAACGGCATAAAAACAGGCAGGCGTCGTTTCACGAAACAAAGCAGCGCTGAAAGACTTGAGAAGGCGCTACAGTTGGCAGCATGCAGAAACAGGTATATAACAGAAGCCGGGGATGCGTAGAGAGAAAACAGTGCTGGACGAGAGCCGGCGGTGCATAGAGATGAATAAGCGGTCATGTTTTGCGTGGTGAGTCGAAATTGAAACAGCGCCCGGTCTGAATGAAATTTGCAGTACTTTGATGAGAGTCGGCAAAGGCATAGAAAGAGAATTGAGAGTCGAGAACTTGTATGACGACATAGCGATGCTCCAGTTCAAGTCTAGCGCCGTGTGAGAATCGTTACAGCATAGAAAAGAATTAAACACAGCCAACAATGTGGGGAGCGGAACAGCACTGAACGCGTTCACTGCATTGTTGGCCCACAGGATACGGAGATGATGGTGCGGGGAGCGGACGGCACCGGATGCGCTCAGCGCCATGGTGCAGGGATGAGCTCACTGTCAGTATCGTATCGGAAAGGTGTGGGACACACCGTTTTGTAAGTGAGCGTGAAAGTGACGGGTCCAAAGCGAAGCGAATCTCTGGGTGAGCCAAGACTTGATGCGAAGAAAAACAGAGCTTGAGGGCGATGAGAGCGGCGGAGGTAAAGCTGGTCAGGTGAGGGAGCGGGGAACCGAAGGATGACTTACCACGGGTAACTCCATCATGCATCTAGAGAGCAGCAAGGCATGCTCTTTATATTTGAAATCTCCATTGATTCACCGACGCTGGTGTATGGGCATAGAGAATCGCATGATTTGGTGAAAACACTTCCCATCCGCACCAGCACCGCCGTCTACTACAACGTCGTCAGTAAGCAAAGAAGCAAAGACCAGTTATAGTCGACCACATACCTACTCGACACGCGTTCAAGTTGTCGACGATGTAGGCTTTCAATTAGTTGTGCAAGCTGCGGAGAATGGAGAAGTCAGCTGGCTAACGTTATGCGCATATAGCTGACTAGCCTCATCATCACCGGCAGTAGGCCGGGTTTCCTAGCATGCACGCTCGGTACGATTGAGTATTGATGTATGACACTGGTTGTGTTGGGCGAGCGATTGGAAGGCGACGTGCGTGAGTTCAGCATTCAACATACTGCGCATATAGTCAATGCACACCTCATCATCAATGATGGCTGGGATTCCTGGGCATGCACACTCAACATGAGTGGCTATCAACAGTGCCGATCGTTCTGGGTGGCGATTGGGAGGCGATGTGTGGCTAGGGATGGGAGGCGCGATGGCGGTGGGGGATGAGCGAGCGATAAACATCCACAAACAATGGACTTAGAATTTTTTAGTCGCAACGGCTACGCACAATGCTGCCAGAATCTGTAACTGCACGCGTCCATGGCTGAATGTTGCCTCAGTGAATATTGCTGGCACATATGGGGTTAGTTCGGAGCCAGTATACGCAGAGTTGGGCAATATGTTTGGGTATATCAGTGATTAGCTTCTTGTAGCTACAAATGGTGTTGTGGCTGAGTGGTTAAAGCGCATCTTTGTGTTGCACGTGGCCTTGGGTTCGAATCTCGAGCAAAGTAATATTTTTATACATTGATGTTCATTAGCTGCCTCACGATGCAAATGGTTCAAAGTACAATTACAAAGCTGCATGTAGCTAAAGTCAAAGTAAAATATTGAAAGTGCTAAAAGCTACTAAAGCTCATTACAGCCAAAGTCAAAGGGCCAAAAGCTCAAAGGGCTTCTGGTAAAGTGAGAAAAGTGGGCCCTTCAAAGTGAAAGGGCCCAAAGCGGAATTTGACAATTTGCTGATGCATCAGCAGCTGCCATTTTTACATGAAATAGACCGGGGATGAAGACAGCATGTTGTTTGCGCCGGTAAGGTGTTTCTTCAATTGATCGAAACTCTTGTGCAGTCCTGATTCGTATCCCAGTTCCTAGGTCGCCATGGAACAAAACAACATATTTGCTAACATCAGTGTCTGGATTATAGGACTCTTCCTCGAGTATACCGGGATCGTAGATGCCACCTTGCTCAAGAAGCCGATCAAGTGCTTGAAGATTCCCACTTGTTGTTGAATTATTTGCTTCCAAAGAAAACATTGGCTGGACCACCGTTTTGATGACAGGTATGGGCTCGATTTCTTCAGGCGCATCCAGATAGCTGAGAAATCGCTGGAAATAAGGTGCCGAATGTGTACAGAGGTCTCGCAGCAACAAATATTTGATGAAGCGCTCGCGTCGTGTCAGAGAAAAGCTCGGTGGTTCTTGATATATGTTCATGAGATCTCGGTAAGTTTTGTTTTCAGGTGGCAGATCTTCATTGTCAGGATTGAACCGGCTTTTTGCCCACAGCTCCGCTGAGCACTGTAAGTCATCCCGAGTCACTCCGTGCTCCAAAGGTATCAGCAGCCCTGAGGTGAGATGCTTCAAATTTTCAAACGGATTTTCGGAAACCGGTACAGATGCTTTTAGGTTAACATCAAAATTGTCATAGGCATAACTTGTCAAGAGTGTCTGGCCAAGCGCGCGCAGTGAACAAGCAGCTTCATTTGTCAAAGATTTGATAGCCAAAAGAATTGCGTTCATTGATATAGATATTCCCATTCTTGCTAGCGCATCAACGACCCTTTCAGGAGTACAGCAAGAGTAGAGAAAAATTCCGACCATGGCCTGTAGGTGATTTGCCTTCTGGTTCATGCTCTGCATTAATATACTCGTTACAACAGCCTTTTTCTAGCAGACAGGTAAACAGAGTCATCATGAGAGCCAAGGTAAGCCTCACGATTGCTAGAACATCGTCTTTTTGTTTCTGCTTTTTCAATCGCTGTTCTTCTGGGCTTGCAGGTGCTCTAAGTGGACCCTCCAGAAGGGCATCGTCTTCATCAGCATCAGCATTTGCCATTGCCGAACCACCCTGAGCTTCTGAAGCATGTCGATTCAGTTTTTTGCGAGAAGATAACAACACGGTGAGCAGCGCAGACAGCATCGGCGCCTTCTGATCAATATCAGCAGCAAGTTCTGCCATCTGGAAGCTATTCACGTCCTGAGGTAAGGCCCTGAGTGCCGAGAAATGCCATTCTGACTTGATGTCGACCAGAAGTTCCATCTCAGCCGCATATATTGGATGTAGCGCCTCACTAGCATGCTTCTGAGCCTCCCGAGAAGTCTTCTTATGCTTCAGCAACGCATATACAAGGTCGCCAGCACGATTAAGCAGTCCAGTGGTGAGTGGGCTCTTCTTGAAGCGAGCCTCAGTTAACAGAGCCAATACCAGGTCAGAAATGCTCGTTTCGCATCGCTCCAAGGCCTGAAAGACAGGGGAGAAGTCCATATTGATGAGGCGATGGCTTATGGAGAAAATGAGATGGCGATTGTATGCGTAGACGTTGACGACGTCTGCCTCCTCAGTCAATCTAATTTTAGAATACACCTTCAAATCATCGTGTCACCGTATACATGCTTGGGCAACTCAACCTTCTCTTTATTCGAGGGGCTATTACCACCTAATACCATAGTATACATTGAGCTAGATTTAAAAAATGTCGCCAGTGAGGATTGTGCAAATATCTTTTGTGCCATTTCGACGCTTTCACAAACGGCCGGCAACATCTGAGTTCAAAAATCGCTCTGCCGAGCATTTACATAATCGTTATCTAAGCGAGCGTGATGAAAATGGGCCAGGCGTGACTTTGTTGACGAATGTTTTGTGCCAGTCTCTCTGGAGCGTAGTCTTACATAAACATCGTCAAGACGTCCAACCTCCAGACGAGACTGGGAAGGAGTCTGGTGCTCCATCGCAAGTTCTTCAGACACGTAAACTCGGTTTCTGAAACGCGTAGTATGCCTTTCAATTTTCGATGTCATTGGCTGAACGCAACCAAGTAATCCGATAGAAAGGTAAACCGTAAGCACTCTTCTTTCTGGTGAAGGGCAACACGTTTATAACGAGGAAAATAAATGTACACAAACGCTAAATATAACCTCTGCCGTTTTAACACCTGCGCCCATACCAGGACACAATTGCGCCGCTCGGCTATCCTCTCCACTACCAAATACCTGCGAACCCCAGCATTCCTCACATATCTCCTCCATCTAAAAACCACGTTTAGCCGTGCAATACTCCGTGTCGAGAGGCCACGTGCCGCGAACTCTCTGCATACTACAAAATGAGTTCAGACGAAATAACAATACCAACCGAAATTTTACACAACATCTTTCATCTTCTTTGCGATGCACCTATCGCTTTCCATGATTTGAAGAACGAATCACACTTCCACGAGTTCCCATGGGCCGTTGGACAGGTTTGCAGACATTGGAGAGGGGCATTTGTGTCCCACACGCATTTATGGACTTCTTTTGCCCTAAAGCCTGGTGACTTTAACGCCGCTTACTTTGTTGAAATGAACCGGCGCGCTGCCATGTACCTCGAACGATCTAGAGAGCAGCCTCTCACCATAGTCGTGTTTACGCCGTGTTCAGGCACTCAAAAATTTCCTAAAACAGTTTGGAGAATGCTGTTATCGTGCTTGAAACGATGGAAAAAGGCTGATTTGGTGCTGGGGAATGGAGCTGCGCAAGACGAACTCTTCAGATGCAGAGGGTACATGTCGAGCCTCGAGTCCCTCAAGATGTCTATAACCAATTATTTCGCAGCCCCGAAGAACTTTAGCGCGTTCGAGGTCGCACCGCACCTAACTGAACTTGATCTAGACCACCGCGGATACACGGCAACATGGCAATTCCCTTGGGCTCAATTGACGAAGCTCAAAATAACAGCGTCCTGCTCAGAGTTCCGCCACTCCTACAGCAATAATCTGTGGGGAGTTCTATTCCAGTTAGAAAATATCGAAGAGTTACACATCATCACAACCTTCGACTACGCACCGCTCCTTTCCCACCTTCCCATTATACACCTTCCTGGCCTTCGGCTTCTCGAAATCCCCTTACCCTCTGCCAAGATGTTCTCCTGGTTCACCGCGCCTTTACTGGAGCATCTCCACATACGGAGTATCAATAATTCCATTTATCGTCAACATAACGAGCCCTACGAGAGAGAACTAACGTCTTTAATCCAACGTTCATCTTGTCACATTCGCCGATTGGTGCTCGAGAATTGTAGAGCGGACGAGATGCGCATAATGATGAAAGTACTGGCGAGCGTCGAAGAGCTCTCCATTATTTACCTAAGTTCCTTCACTATCAACCAGGACGTTACGGGACTTGATGGCTGCATCTATCTGCCCAAATTGCAAGTACTGCAAGTGACGTGTACAATTGATTATGGGATGAACCCGGTGACAGCATTAGAGAACGCGACGACAGTGTTCTCTCGTCTTTTGGAAGCGCGTGGGAAGGGACTATCCCTTGCAAGCCACGACATTGTACCACTCGAGAAGTTTGTGCTCCGGTTGAACTTCTTGGGGCAAGGAAAGTGGTCCGACAAGGTTTTGGAACTGGTGCACGGTTGGCCGTCCTTTGCTCAAGTTTATGTCAACGACTCGGTGCTCGAGCGATTGGTTCCACCCCTTTGATCTATCCTGACGAGAGCTACTTCAAGAATAGCGGATTCGGGCTGCTTGTGCCTATGATACATTTAAATAATTTAGATTTTTTTTGTACAAAAATTTCATCATGTGGCACGCAAATTTTGACCGCCAAGTCCGCGATGAGCGCTGTCGTCGGCATCAACTGGGCAACTCGTACGCCTCCATCACCGTCTTCACAAAGGAGCATGTCGCACAATGTATCGCAAACCAGGATGGCGAAGCGATTGCATCATTTATTGGCCAGGAAGTCGTGCGTGCGCCTCGTCATCTTCTCTCTTTTGAACTGATACTAATGGAGAGATGCGGGCAGTACATTTTCGCGGGTACGCTCGTGCAGCATCTGGACGATCCTAGAGTCCTTTTTCGATCCCCTTGTTTATACTATGCTTATGGCGGTTCACCGCCCTGGTCTCTTCAGTGGCCTATCTCTGAAGAGGAAAGGGTGTGTCTCTTGTTTCTCAGAGGAGTCTCTCCAGCTACGGTGGAGCTCTTGACGGATTTCCCCTCAAAGACCCCTAACATTGTAACAAGGATGTCCTGCCAGTGATTAGTATCTAATCAACCATCTCATCGCAAACACGTGCTCCACCGCAAGCACTTCTGACACGTAGTACGCCTTTTAATTTTCGATGTCATTGTCTGCACTAATGCACGCAGATGCAGGCGCATGCCACAAGCAGGCAGTCCACGTCGTTCAGAAAAGAAGACAGATTAAATGGATCAATGGCAACGATTCTGGCGTCTCCGAGCCAAGTAATCCGATAGAAACGTCAGCACGTTTATAAGTTATAACGGGAAAACAAACATATACAAATGCTAAATATAACCTCTCAGCCGTTTTAACACCTGCGCCCATACCAACACAATTGCGCCGCTAGGCTATCCTCTCCACTACCAAATATCTAACAGTTGCGAACACCAGCATTCCTCAGATATCTCTTCCACCAATTTTTTAGAAACCACATTGGGTTAGCCGTGCGTGTCGAGAGACCACGTGCCGCGAACACTACAAAATGGGTTCAGGCGAAATAA